GGGGGGCGGGTCACCTCCAGCGGGAGGTCGCTGAGAGCGCCCAGGGCACCCCCGACAGCACGACCGGACCCAGGGAGGAAGCTCGCGAGGACAGGGGCCACTCGGGATGGGAGCCGAGGAAGAGCTGGTGGTCAGAGGGGCCCCCGTGATGGATGCGCCCCACGCTCCTCAGAGGCGGGGACGGGCGGGTGGGGAGGTCGGGACACCTCCTCCGGGGGCCTTGCAGGCTGGCGGGGACTTGGGGATTTGTCCCGCGGGTCAGGGGACCTCGGAAAGAAAGGGTTGGGGGCAGGGTCCCGGCAGGTCAGATCCGGGGTTTCCTTTCCTTTATTCCGAATGTTTCGGGGGCACGAACGTTGCGGCGACACGGACCGTCCCCCGCCCCCGGGCGCGACCGGGCCGCGGACTCTCGCCCAGACCCGCGCCCCGCCCGCTCCGCGTCCCCAGCGCCCGCACGTGGCCGCGCCGTCCCCTCCGTGTCCCTCCCGCGCCGCGTCCCCATTAATCACGGCGACGGTGACGGCGCTGACGAGCGGCCATCGGCCCATCTTATCGCGCCCGCCCAGCCGCCGCCGCCGCCGCCGATCGCGCGGGGCCGGGCCGGGGTCAGCGCGGCCGGGCCATTAATCACCGCGCCTGCCACCGGGTGACGGGATGGGGACGCGCGACAGGCGGCCCCCTCCTCCTCCCCATCCAGCCTGCCGTCCCCAGAGCCAATGTCCCCGGTCACCTGCCCAGGCCGCCCCCTCCCCTTCCCCATGCTGTCCCCAGAGCCAATGTTCCCGGTCACCTGCCCAGGCCGCCCCCTCCCCATCCCCATGCTGTCCCCAAAACCAGGGGACGGCGGTGGCCGCACCGCAGGAGGGGAGGACGAGCAGGGCGGGTGGGATCGAAGGTGGGACAGGCAGGCGCACGGAGCTGAGAACAGCTCTGCCTCCTGGGGGCGTCTTCCCACGGCCACCAGCCTGGCTGGGACAGGGAGTGGCCGTTCGTCCCCCACCGCAGGGCCAGGGCGGGTTCCTAGGGACCCAGCGATGCGCAGCGCGTCTTTCCGGAAGCCTCCGCGCCTGCCCTCCGGCCTGCAGGGCTGTACCCGGGTACGGCGTCGTCCGCTCTCTGCAGCGGGGACAGGCTTCTGGCTCTACCTTGACAAAGTGTGACCTTTTCTTTTTCTTTCTTTTTTTTATTTTTTTTCTATTTTTAGTAGAGACGGGGTCTCGCCATGTTGCCCAGGCTGGTCTCGAACTCCTGACCTC